AAGGTCAAACACCAGAAAAGTGGCTCTATGCACTTCCCAGGAATGACAGCACTGTCAAGCAAATGGAACATAAGAATATTTTATTTGAGCAACTGAATCATCATACCCTAGATGCCGAGAATAGAAATTCTCTTGAGAATGGGGTCAGTCTGGAATAGAAATAAACACCGTGTACTAACAAGATGGGATAGAGCATGAGTAATCATGACATCTGAAAAAGAAAAAAAGAAAAAAAAGCTAGTACATATGGCAAAATAAAACAACTGTATAGCATTTTCAAAAGGCATTAGAGCACACTGAAGAACACATCTTACAAAACATGGAAACACACCTTAAAATTAAAGGCTACTGGTTTTGAGAATCAGGCAAAATGTCAGAGGCTTATGCAGTACCCATTGAGGGTAGAGCAGTGAAGTGTTTAAGCATGCCTGAACTATGTGCTTGCAATCACGAGATCTCAGTTTGCCTTAAATTAGATCATATATTTATTTGAGAACAAGAATTTGATTACATCTGACTGTCCCATCTAATAGCCAGGCAAATAGCAAGGCTGAGTTTGCTGCACAGATTGCTAAGAGTATTGAAATGGTGCAAACAAGACAGAGAATATTTTGCATTCCGTTCTTGAATGAAAATATTCCCATAGAAAAGTTCACTGCAGTTGAGTACAATGCTTGAAATCATGTTAAGTAACAGGATAAAGGAGTAAGAGACTGAAACAGTAAGTAAAAGGCCAAAGATAAGAGTCTTTTAATTACCACCCTGATCTGTATCTGTAATACTTTATTTCTGCAAGATTATTCTCATACCTGAAGCAACATGTTTGAAGAGAGAATCCTCCATTCTTTCACCAAATCAAAGGGAAAATTCCTCATCTGGAGTATATTGAAACTGTGCACCCAGGTTGTAAAAAACATATGGACATTTAATGAAATGTGTATCAACAGTAAAAAAGTGCCCATAGTTCCTAATAAGGAGGAGTTGGAAAAAAAGGTGGTATAAGTCAACATATCTCCCTATGTCTGCCTTTAATTATACTGAAATTTTTTTTATCATGGAGACATTTAATTTCAAAAGCTATAAATCTCTGGTTCAAGTGTTACTAAACTTTCTAAAATGTTTGTTTTAGTGTGTTTCTCTCACTATTTTGTAGTGTTATTATATATATAATATTATATATTATACGAAGATTTCTGCAGACTTCATTAATGTTACAGTTCATGCAATCTCACTCCCCCAAAATGGGGTATTTACCCCCTTTGTAGAAAATCAATCCTAACCTGGACTAATTTAACAGAAAGTGCACATAGGATGAAAAATGAGAAATCTGGAAGAAAAGACAGTAACTTCATAGTTATTGTGGCTTAGTTTTATCTTCTTGGACAGAGACAATGAAATTGACTTATTCTAAGATGTGCCATTGAACTGCTGCCAGGACTTGTGTGCAACTGAGCTAATACTCTATTCTTTCTTCTTTATATCTGTCATTCTTATCACAACCACAGATAAAATACACATTTTTCTGAAATCTAAATAAATTCCTCTTCAAAGCATACTTTTCTTGTGCTTATTAATAGAAAGTGATGTCTACTTACGCATTTGGATTATTTATATCTAGTCAACTACTCATTTACATTAAAAACAGAATGGAAAAATTATCTTACTTGTGCAGCTTCAAAGCTGTAGCTTTATTGATAATTACAAGTCACCTCTGCAATTACTGAAAACTTACAGTGTAAAATGGGACAGAGCACCAATTTTCTCAGCCTGTCTTCATAGGAGAGGTGTTCCAGTCCTCTTAGACCTTCATGGCCTCCCCTGGACTTGCTCCAACACTTCCATGTCTTTCTTATTTTGAAGGCACCAGAGCTGGATGCAGCACTCCAGGTAGGGTCTCACAAGAACAGAAAGTACAGGGACAGAATCACCTCCCTTGCCCTGCTGGCCATGCTCCTTTTGATGCAGTCCAGGATACCTCTGGCTTTCTGGGCTGCCAGCCCACACTGCTGGCTCATGTTGAGTTTTTTGTCAACAATAAAGAGGGGTTTCGGCATTTGTTTTTTTCCCTTTGCAATATTACAGGGGTTTAAAATCATGCTGAAGTCTCCTCGAGAGTGGGAGTAATAAAAATTGACCATCTGTTATCATGCTACCTAGAAAAAACATTGAACCCTTCCTGTAAGTGTACTATTTCTTTTTTCAATATTGGTTGAAATGCAGCAATGGGTTCAAACCTGCTAGGAGGTCAAAATAAAGGTGAGACAATGAGAAAAAAAAAATAATTCTTTACAGCTTGCTTTAGAGAAAATGCTTTTAAATGTTTTGTTAGAATCACAGAATGGTTTGTGTTGGAAGGGACCTCAAAGACCACCTAGTTCCAACCCCCTGCTGTGCCCAGCCTTTCACTATACCAGGTTGCTCAAAGCCCCATCCAACCTGGCCTTGAACAATTCCAGGGATGGGACATCCACAGCTTCTTTGGGCAACCTGTGACACTGCCTCACCACTCTCACAGCAAGGATTTTTTCGCTTAATATCTAACCCAAATCTACTTTCTTTCAGCTTGAAGGCCCTTGTCCTGTAACCACAGTTCCAGATGTTGCCCAAAAGAAAAGGGATTTTTCAAGGGCCTTACAAAAACAAAACCAGACAAGAAAAAAATGAAAAAAACCCCAAACAAACAACCCCCCCCCCACAAAAAAAAAACCCACCCCAGATCCCCAATGAAAAAATGAAAACAAGTTCTTGAAAACAAGAATGAAAGAACAAGTGAAAACTCCACGCTGTTCTTAAACATAGAACATTGCTTCAAGGGCTAAATTTTGTCACAAGAAAAGCGTCCCTCAACTCGGCGCTTGCAGAAGGCCACGGCAGGGCTGAGGACGCTATCTGCCCTCGTGACTGCGGAGGTTGCACAGAGCAGCCCCACCAACACCGGCTGCCGGCGGCACCCGACCTTTCCCGGCGGACGAGGAGCCCCCGGTGTTCCCCACACCAGCATCCGGGAACTCCCCCCCCCTCCCCGCTCGCCGCCCGGTGGTCCCGCCCTGACGTAGGCGCCCCTTAACCCAATGGGGCTCCACTCTGCTTCCGGCGTCCGGCGCCGTCTCCTGGAAACGGGCGTGGGGTGGCGACCATAGGAGTAGCGTGCGGGGGGTGCAGGGACGCAGCCCGGTGGGATCTGACGGTGCGTTCCAGCTGGAATAAAGGACAGCAAAACGCTCCGTTTCCTGGAGTCATCCTGCCTGCCTGATCCGGTGCTTTTCCCGCTTGCCTGTATTTTGTGGCACGCAGGGACCAGTGTCCTGTCCGGACACTGCCACCGGGGTTTGGGAGACTCCGTCCCGGGGGCGGGGCTCCGCCGTTTCGGTTGATGGCGGCGGCGTGGCGGTGATCCATCCCGCGCCGCGGTACGGCTGTCGTTCCCCTCCTTTCCCGCCGGGTCCATCACCGGCGCAGGTACGGCTGTCGTTCCTTTCCTGCTTTCCCGCCGGGTCCATCACCGGCACAGGTGCGACTGTCGTTCCCCTCCTTTCCCAGCGGTTGCATCCTCCGCACTCAGGGGCGGCTGCCGTTCCTCCTCTTTCCCGCTGGTTCCATCCCCGCACACAGGTACGGCTGTCGTTCCCATCCTTTCCCGCCGGCTCCATCCCCGGCACAGGTGCGACTCTCGTCCCCATCCTTTCCCAGCGGATGCATCCCCCGCACACAGGTACGGCTGTCGTTCCCATCCTTTCCCGCCGTGTCCATCCCCGGCACAGGTAGGGCTGTCGTACCTTTCCCCCTTTCCCGCCGGGTCCATCCCCGGCACAGGTAGGGCTCTCGTACCTTTCCCCCTTTCCCGCCGGGTCCATCCCCGGCACAGGTAGGGCTCTCGTACCTTTCCCCCTTTCCCGCGCACGTTCGCGGCCGTTACCCGGCGGAGCGCGCGCGCCCAGCGGCCCCTCACCGCTCCCCCGCCCCATCCCTCACCGATCCCCCGCCCCATCCCTCACCGCCCTCTCGTTCCCTCCGCTGCCGTCCCTCGGTCCGAATGCGGGAGCGGACCCGGGACAGGGATAGAACCCTCGGCTGGAACGCCCCGAGACCCCACGGCCCCCTCTCCTGTACTGCAAGTGGGTCGGGAAGCGGCTGTGTCTCCGGGCCCGCCGTGCAGCGCCTCAGGCCTGACAGCCCACGGCAGAGCTGGGATCGCGAGTCGTGCACCGGCTGCTCCGTTCGGAGTGGTTTGGCCATTCCCTCGTAAAGAGAGGGAACCGCGTCTCCTTGGTGTGCTGGTCCAGCGCAAAATTAGTTCCCTCGGTGCCTGGAGGCTGACGCTTTGGGTGCTTCTGTGGAGGTTCACACCTGCTTCGTTACAGGTGGTGGCTTGGGAGGCTTCCATGATGGCCTTCTTACTCACCTTTTCACCTTTTGTATCAGTTTATTTGATCTCTTTTTTCTTTATCTCGAAATCCATCTGTTGAAAGTCTGTTTTGTGTGTCAGAGAAGCTGTGGGTGTCCCATTCCTGGCAGTGTTCAAGGCCTGGTTGAACGGGACATTGAGTACAGTGTTCTAGTGGCATGTGTTCCTGCCCTCAGCAGGGGCGTTGGAACGAAATGATCTTTAAGGTCCAACCCAAGCCATTCTATGATTTTATGATTCTGTGCTCTGTTGGTTTGTGCGCTGGAATAAAGGCATAGCCATTACTCTTGAGAATCAGAGACTATTCTCTTTTCCCTGTAGCCTCTTGCATTTTTACAGATAATACCATTTAGAATTTGTATCTACTAGACAGTCTGTTACTTTTTGAATAAGATCTTTGGAAGTGTAAAATTCACCTTTTCAAAATTTTGATTACATTTCCTGAGAGGAGGTCTTCTGCAAATCAATTATATTCAATTGTTTTGGAAATATGGAATCCCTATTCATGGTAATGGGGAGGGTGACTACTATACTTGAATGGCCATTACATTTGAAGGCTTCCCCTTTCTCCTCCTTTCTTTAGGTTTATTTGTTTATCAGACTAATGCCATGTTTCCAGTCTGTTGCCTGTGAAACATCCGAAAGCATGGAGAACTTTGTTTTGTATGAGGAGATTGGAAGAGGAAATGCAACAGTTGTTTATAAAGGAAGAAGAAAGGGGACAATTAATTTTGTCGCCATTGTTTGCAGTGATAAATGCAAGAGAGCGGGAGTTTCAAACTGGGTAAGTAATGGGGTTTCTTTTCCTGCTAAATCTGGGAAAAAAATACAGCCTACAAAATTCTGGTTGCACAAGTTACAGAAAAGTGCCATGTGCTTCTTTAGATGGAGTTTGTTACATTTGGACCAGCTTCTCAAGATTTTAAGTTCTTATTCTTTAAATACAGTCTCCTTTTAATATATATATTTCTTCATGTAATTTTATTGGTTTTTAGATTGCATGCATTAACACATGTTTATGGTCTTACTGTTTCTGTGATGTGTTAGTGCACTTGTAAAAATAGTTACATGTGGTGGCTTGCTTTATTTTGTTATTAGTTGTGCAAATCCAGGGGTAGCAGTAACTTCCAGTAAACAATGAATTTCTTGCTTAGCAAGAAGAAATTATTTTTGATGAATGAATATAATTTAAGCTGAATCAATTCTGGTTTGTAAAACCTTGGAAAAGCTTTAAATATACTGTCTGGAAAGGCAACTGATACAGTTATACAGTTCAAATATTTTATTTTTCCAGTAGGTACATTTTGTTTCTGTAGTGGGTTAACCTTGGCTGGATGCCAGGTTCCCGCCAAATTCTCCCTTCTTCACCTGGACAGGAGTCAGAAAGTACAGTGAATGGGTCAAGATAAGCGTAGGGAGAGATTACTCACCACTTGCCTTCACCGGCAAAACAGACTCAATTTAGGGAAAGTAATTGAATTTATTGCCAGAGTAGGATAATAGTAAATAAAACCAAATCTTAAAACACCTTTCTTCCACCCCTCCTTCTTCCTGGGCTCAGCTTTACTCCCAATTTTCTCTCTCTCCTCCCTTGCCAGAGATGCAGGGAGATGGGAAGTGGGATCAGTTCATCAGATGCTGTCTCTGTTGCTCCTTTCTCCTCATGCTCTTCCCCTGCTCCAGTGTGGGGTCCCTCCCATGGGTGACATTCCTCCACAACCTTCTTCAGTGTTGGTCCTTCCCATAGGCTGCAGTTCTTCATGCCCTGCTCCAATGTAGGACCTTTCCATGGGGTGCAGTCCCTCAGGAACAGGCTGTTCCAGTGTGAGTTCCCACAGGGTTACACATCCTGCCAGCGACCTGGCATGGGCTCCTCTCTCCATGGGTCTACAGGTCCTGCCAGGAGCCTGCTCCAGCACAGACTTCTGAGAGAGTTGCAGCCTCCCTCAGGTTTCCACCTGCTCTAGGAAACCACCACAGGCTGCAGGTGGATCTGTGCTCTGCCATGGACCTCCATGGGCTGCAGAGGGACAGCTTTGCCTCACTGGCCTTCACCAGGGGCTGCAGGGGAATCTCTGCTCCAGCTCCTGGAGCACCTTCTGCCCCTCATTCTGCACTGTCTGCAGGGTTGTTTTGTCGCACATTCTCACTCCCCTGCTGCTGTTAACAGGAGTGTTTTCCCACCTTTTTAAATGTTATCCTGGAGGTGCTGCCACCATTATTGGTGGGTTGGCGTTGGCCATCAGTGGGTCAGTCTTGGAGCTGGCTGAGATTGGCTCTGTCAGACACAGAGGAAGCTTCCAGCAGCTTCTCACAGAAGCCAGTCCTGTAGTCCTCCCCACCTGGATACCAAAACCTTGCCATGCAAAACGGATACAGTTTCATATTCCCTCTTATTGTTTCAAAGATAATTTCTTGGGAATTTTTTTGTTCTTAGGAGTGTATTGGCCTTACAAATCTCTTGCCTTACATACTACTTTAGCAAGAAACAGGCTTCTGTAGATATTGGGTCATGTAGGTATTCTAGAAATAAAGATTTTCAGGGTCTCTTGAATGGTTTTCTTTGTCTGATAAGATTAAGAATGATGGAAAATCTTCTTTTCACTTCTTTTTGCTGTATTACCTCTCATTTTTATTGTTATTGGAAAAAAAAACAGTAGGAGTGCAAGTTTGACTCTAAATTCTGATTTCTAGTTCTTCCTTCTAGGAAGGCCAAATAATATTTATAATTTTGAGTTGGGAATTTACTAGGTTTTTTTTTCTGTATTTTAAAAACAGGTGAGTTGGGCAGGGTCTGTGAGGAAAGTTATCTTTCCTCAACATACATGTAACACTAAAATATTTGAAGAATAATGTTAATGCACTAGAAAAGGCAAGAGAATAGGTAGCTAATCTAGAGTAGATTGTGCTGTTTCTTGTTCCCATGCCTCAAGTCCATATAAATACATTTATGTCTTTCCCCTACTTAAGTATTTTAAAAATGTCACTCTAGGTTCGTCTGACTCAGGGACTCACACATAAGAATATAATGACATTTTATGAATGGTATGAAACAAGCAACCATCTCTGGCTTGTAGTGGAGTTATGCACAGGTAAGATAAGCTCAAAGGCAAACATTTATAGAATGAGTATTTATAAGAGATTTCTTGCAGCTTCTCTACAGAAAATGCTTAGATCTTTGAAAAAAGTGTAATTGTCTGATTATTAACTTGAGAATCCTGTTTATATATAAAAGTGGTTTTGCCCTTGCAAACATTTTTAGAAATCAATTGAAATCATGCTTCTCCTCTGCTTCACTGTATGCATCTTTGAAAAGTTAGTTGAGTTACATAATGCTGATTTTTAAGAGCTGAAAAGAGAAGGCCAATCAGGGAACATAAAAGCAAATTGTGAATAGTCAGAAGGTAGCTCAGTAAAAATTACTTGAGAAATTTTCTAAGGACTGGCAACTTTGGCATTCTCTTTTAAAAGACATCAAGGAGCAAATCAGTTCTAATGACGTAACATTATTCAAATTAATTTTTATACAAAGGGCAATTTGGCAGCTAAAGTGAATGATTAAAATTTTTTTCCTATTCAACATAAGTATTTTGATTTCCATGTTAAAATTGTAATTTGGAAACTCTGAGAACCCAGAACTGCATTAAGTTTTTCACTTAGTTTTGATAAGTTCTTATCAATTTATTAAAGGAATCTTGTAAAGCTTTCTTTAATTGTGATGACTACATGTTTGAAACTTCTGACAGCATGCTTTCCTCCATATGGAGAGGAAAGAAAAGTGAGCCAATATGCATGTGATGCATGTTAAAATTTTGATTTTAAAATTAAATTTTGGATTTTAATTTAAATTAAAATTTTGTTTAATAGTAAAAGTCCATGTTACACCCAGCCTTTTTATTTATCCAGAATTCTGTTTGAAAAATTACCGAAGAAGAGAACTTACAAGTTCTGAGAAAAAAAAGTCAGGTCATTCTTTCAGTGATTAAAAACTATTTTAATGGCTGATATGGAAGCTTTGGTCTACTTGCTTAGTCTAACTTCAGGCTACGTATTTAAGTTATTAGACAGGCAGCCTTTTATTGTTGAGCAATTATCAGGTGTTTCACCTTGCAGTTTTATAGTTTGCTGCAAGGTGAGTGTCTTGGAGCTAACTTACTTAGAATGTGGATTTATTCTTAATATTGTTGAGACTTGAAAAATACTTCTGAAATATGGAAGATTTCTTTCACTAGTCTGAAAGATAGTTTCTGTTATCAGATGCAAAATATTTCTGTGTTGCTGGTTTCACTGCTTTTTTTCTTTGTGTGTTTTTTCTTTGTACGCCATATTATGGAAACAGTTTAACTGGTCTGTCCTTAGTTTTAGCAATTGTTCTTAGAAGTTGATAGCCTGCTGTTGGTATTATTTATTCTTTTTATTTATTCTTTTAACTTGTGCAGCAGGAATCTGGTTAAGGAATTTTAATAAAAGCATGGAGTACTATTACACTGTGAAATGACACAGTTTCTGGATTTCCTTTTTCCCTTCTGTTTCCTATGTAAAATAATATTGAAGTAGTTTTGAAGTCATGCAGTCAGTTTTATTCCAGATGAAATGAAAATTTTTTCACAGTATTGAAAATAATTTTTGTACATCTTAGATTTTGTAACTATTAGATATCAAGAAATATTTTTACTATCTACTGACACTGGTTTTTGATTGACATCTTTTGAAGTTTATGTAATTGGGCATGACTTGTGTGACCCCTTCTTTATATGCACTTGCTGACTATGTGTATTTCAGGTGGTTCTCTAGAATGTCTCATTGCTCAGGATGAATGTCTACCAGAAGATGTGGTGAGAGAATTTGGTATTGACCTGGTTACTGGTTTATACCATATTCATAAGCATGGAATTATCTATTGTGAATTGAAGCCTGGAAAGGTGAGGAGGGGTATTATCTATAGGGACACTGGATGTTACTTTTCATGCCACCAGCATTTATTTTATTATTTGTATTTTACCATTTGCAAGAACTTACCTCACTAGTGAGGTCAGTTGAGTTTTATAATGTATATGAAGATAACCAGAGACAAGTCTGTAGCTTGAATATTTTATTATAGAATTGATTTTTTTACTTGGTATATATCTGATACAATGTGATATATTCCTTTTGATTTGGTGTACTGGTTTAATTTCCTGAAAGATTTTAGTTCTCTATCCCTGGAGACATAAATTGGTTCTTATTCTATCATGCTGCAGAATATTTTGCAGTCATAGAAAATGCTAATGATGGAGTAAATTTAACTAAACTTCCTTTGTTAATAATTTTCTATGTTGTTTGCACATACCATGGAAATTATCGTCTTGTTCCTGTATAAAAATACAAGTCTTTATGTAGTTTCTCATTTTGTGTATGTCTGTAATTTTTGTAGAGGTTTGCTAAAGTCTGTGTTTGTTTTTAATTCGTGTAGTCACCAGAATAAAACTGCCTATAATAAAATTTTTTTGCTTAATAGTAATTGGTTTTGACCTTGATCTGTAAGTGATCAAGTTGCAGTTCTCTGAATCTTTGGTAAAATCTTCCACAATTCTACTCGGTTCCTGTCATTTATGGACCCAAAAGCACTAAAAATACATGAGTTAAGCATAGTGGAGATGACTCAGTAGTCTTCCAAAGAAGAGTGCTGCTGTAGAGTGCTCATTTCAACAGAAAGTAAAAGGCTAAAGTTAAGTCTTCTTCTGTGCCCTGCCCCCTGCTTCTGGCTGAATGGGCTATTTCTCTAAGCAAGGTTTTTGGGATTATGAAGTTTTTAGTTGCGAGAATAAGCAGTGACTGGCCAGAGAAAACTGTCATCATCATCGGACAAAATCTGTGAAAGTTTTTGCTACATAAAATGAGAAAATTCCTTTTTTTTTTCCCCTCAAATAAATCTGCTTGGTTTTACTAGACTTACATTTTCCTATGCAGTTTTACTCTACTTTAACTATCTTTTCTTTAGTATCATAATTTTTTATTTAGATTTAATAATGAATGAACAAAAGAGCACATTGAACCTCTTAAGAGCTCTATTGGGGTACTTTTGGTTATAAGAAGAAAAATAGTATTGGCATTGACTTAAAAGAAAAACTTCAGTGTTTTTGGTTATAGTGATCTTCTCTATGTACTTAAATGGTTTTATTATTTTTATAATAAATCATTTTATGTTGGAAATCTCAGTTTTAGTATATGATACTTGCATATTGGATTTTGTTTGTTCTAATAGATTCTACTGGAAGGGTCTGGCACTTTGAAATTCAGTAGCTTTTGCCGGGCTAGAGCAGATGGTGAAGACTTGGAAAAAGTTTTTGCTTTAGCTGGAGCTGAGGAAGGTGAAGATATTAATGAAAACACTCTGCAAAGATACTTTAAAAATATAGTTCAAGGTACGAGATTTTTACTAGCCAGAATTAACTCACACCAAAGAGACAGAATGAAAGTTGGAGTATCAGTGATTATGATAAAGAGAAATTATTTAGAGTTAGTCCTGTTTTGTCTCAGAAAAAAATTGAGCTATGGAATTATTTATGGACTTTTGAAAAGTTTGTGCTGGAAGTGCTCTCTGTAAGATCTGGAACTAAATTCCTGTAAGTTAGAGTTAAAAGCAGAGAGAAAATTTGGGAAGTACTACACAGAACTGCTGCTTCTTTCATTGGGCACTGCACTGCTGTACTTTCATTGTTCTTTTTGGTGCACATGGTCTAGGTTATTTCTAGTTTGAGGTCAACTCTTTCATTACCTTAAAGAATGATAATTTCATTTTAAAGTCTGAGAAAGTTACTGTGCTTCAGTTTCAACAGGCAAATCCATAAAAATGCAGTAGACTGCAAATACTATGGGTTTTTTTCATTAAATCAGAAACTTGGTTTTAATCTTCTGAATCTTTTATTAGTCATTACCTTGGAACATCACATAGACCTCTGTTTCTAAGATAATGATGTCCCATATATCAGTTACTTTTATCAGAAACAACAGAATTCTTCGTCATATTTTATGAGAACAAAGAGAGCTCTCCTTGCAGTCTCCTTCTGAAAGTCCACACTGGAAATAGTAAGACCAAGATCAGGTCTTTATTCAGGAAGAAATAGAAATCTAATCTCTTTCCTGTTGCTCTTCAGAACTGTTTTGATAGGTATGGTAATGACCTTTTGTCACTTAAAAAAATAAAACCCAAGAAGAAAAAAACCCAAAATAAACTTTTTAAGGGACTATGGAATTGGCATTTTTACTGAGTTAGCGTAATTTCTTTAGAGATTTTTGAGACCTGATAGGAAGTACTGTAGAAATAGGAACTGTATATTTTATTCCTGTATTAAACAAAAGAGATTTGTGAATAAGCTGCTATAATTTGATATGTGATGTTTTAATAGTGTGTTAATGGTAAAGGAGCCATAACTGTTTAGATCAGTGATTTCATTGGCTAGCTACCTTGTTTTTTGTAAGAGAGTTTACTAAGTTTGTGAAGGTTTATTTCTTGGGATAGCTTTAAAAAAAAGAAATTCCAAATCTAATGTAATGTAATTATTTCTGTTACTCACATGAGAATGATTTAGCATTCTGCTCAAATTGCTTGGCTCTTAAAGCAAATAAAAAAATTCTTTGCATTAATCACTATGTTTGAAAAGTGCAGCACAAGTCAGTTTGGTAATTGAAGTGAAATAAACAACAAAGTAGCATATATAATCCTACGTAATCCAGTGAAAGTATAGCAGAGAAGTTCCTTGGAAACCACTTACATTTGCTATTTCAGTTTTCTTTTATGTTGAGTGAAGATAATCTATAGCTTGGTGAAGTTTGGAGACAAAATGTTGAAAAAGAAGAATGCTGAATGAAGAATCAAAGTGCATTAATTATACATTCTGTATTTTGTAGACTTTCCATTCTACACAGCTCCTGAAGCAATAAAGGGAGACAACTTCTGCAAAGCCAGTGATCTGTGGTCCCTGGGATGTTTACTCTATGAAATGTTCTCAGGTTGTAAGTTTGTAAATCTATTTAATATCTGTGATAATGGAAACATAGTTTATGGTCCCAGAGTAAATTCTTCTGAACTTTCTAGGGAAGTTAGGACATAGAAAAACTTGAGGCAGGTTTTGAAGATTTCTTGAAGAACATACTAACTGCGCTTAAAAGACAAAAATAAAAGTGTCTTTATCCAATGATCAGGTAAAACAATACTGTTAAGTGGTCCTATTGACAACAATACTAACCAACATGTAGGGTTTAATACTATTATTTGAAATTATGGTAGCTCTCAAATTCTGATGGTATAGTGTTTTTATCTCCTTGGTATTAAACTCTGTGTGCATTATTTCAACCTTTGAAAGAGAAAACTGCCTCACTATTGTAAAACCAGAGTAATTTGGTTCCCTTCCCATTAAGTACCCATTAGCTTCAGCTACAAGGAAGCTTCATCACAGAAGAGAATTACACTGCAGCCTTCTTAAACCTTAAGCCAAACCCTTATCTGTTGGATCAACGCAGTAACACAGATACTGAGATTTTTGTCTTTTCCTGTTGTCTCATGTCTGATTCATACAGGGCTATCATGGTTATCTCCATCAAGCCATCTTTGGTGCTTCTTCTGTCTGTTTCTTTTGCTGTTCATGATGAAAGAATTTAATCAAAGATTTGGAATTTAAATTGACAAGAAAACTTGATAAATAGTACTCAGACTGAGGTTGTTTATTTCTTTGGATGCTTTCTCAGGAAAATGAGCTCATGATAAATCATTGTACCTTACAACCATTTTGAAGTTTGCCTAACCTGTGAAATACACTTCTGTTTGTTTGTAGGAAAACCACCATTCCTGTCAGAAAGCCGTTCTGAATTAATTGAAAAGATTTTATCTGAAGATCCATTGCGACCAGGACCAGAGAGTAGGGTTCTGTTATTCTTTAATGGATCAAGCCACAGTAATACTTAGAAAGTTAAAGCTTTGGTTTGCCCTTTTTCTTCTGAGGCTGGTTGCAGGAATCAACTAGTTGTCCAAAGTGAATGTTAGCAATGGCTTCCTGTGATAATTCCCTGTTAGTGATGAATGCTTGCTTCCCTTTTTACAGTGACATAAATAATTTACTTTTAATTGTTAACACTGAATCTACCTACTGGTGTGGAATGGGTAGAATTTTTGATCTTGGTCATTCTGGACATCAGTGTTATTCACTGAGATCCTTACACATTAGTGGCCCTTTTTCAATTTAAGCAGATTTTAGCTGTACTTAATTTCTTCCTGGTGGCTGTCTGATAATTGGAGGGCACTTTTTTGTTTAAAGTTACAAATTATAAAAAAATTAGTTTGGTGATGGAGCATTAGTAGTTTGTTTGTTTTGGGTTTGGTTTTTTTGTGGTTTTTTTTTGAGGATTCTTTGAAATGCAGAGAATGTATATTTGAGATTCTTTATACATTGCGATTTGTTTTCAGATTAAATTACTATCAAAAAGTTTTCTTAGCATGATGTGTGGATAATAGTGTGGTTTACATTGGGTGATGATTGTTTTTGCTGTCCAATACTGATCTTTAGTGCTTTTCTTTACAGGTTCTGCTTTTCACAGACCTTCTGCTGAGTTCATCAGTTTGCTTGATGGGTTACTTCAAAAGGATCCTCAGAAAAGGTAAACTGCCTAATTCAACTTTGTCACCTCTGCGGAAAATAATTATTATGATACTGTATGTATAGTATTTTGTAGATGACAAAGAGTGCAAAAAGAATTTAATCCCTCATATAAAAGAGCAAACTGCTTTTTCTTGGATGAAGATATATAGAATTAATATTTTCATTAAATGCATCTTTTTTTTTTTTTTTTTTTTTTTTTTGTTTCTGTACCTGGTACTAAATAGGTAACTTTGTAACAAAATGATAGGCAGTTTAGAACTGCATGTCTGCTTTTCCAGAGCAAAGTGCACATGTATTTCATTAGGCTTTAACTTATACCTGATACAGTTCCATTGTTAAATAATGTAGAGCTATGAGTTTTAGGGTATGTCAGATAATTTACATGTGGGATTGACTCTGCAGCTTCCTTCATTCTTATACCTCTGTTGTGTGAATTTTCCATTATGATTTAAGGCAAAAAAGTTTGTCCTGTAAGAAAGCTTACTTGTTCAAGAAACAGCAAACAACAGGATTAACTGCTCTGTAGCGTCACTGTGTTCAAAACCTAGTTTGGCATGTCCCTGTGGAGTTGTACTTAGCCACTGCTTTTACAATTTGTTTGTTGCTTTTCCAAAGGCTGAATTGGACAGACCTATTGCAGCATCCATTCTGGAAAGGATCCCTTAGCCATTGTGGTGTTGGTTCTGCAGATAGACAGAGCACAAGCTTGAGGTACTGAAAGTTCAAGGAAGATTTCTCTTAGTAAATATAAGCAAAAATATTTTATTGTCTGTACATTTTATAACTTTTGAACTTTTCCTAGAATTTTCATGAAATAATGAATGGAGTTTTACACCATTCAGTAGGTGGTTTTGGATGTTTAGGAATTGTAATATCCTATTAGTGTATTGCACTGTCCATTCATTTTCAACTGACTCCTTCCTGCTGGCCTTAGAATGTGTTGAAATTCACTTCTAAGCTAAAGGCTCTCATTTTTATTTATATATTACATAATATTGTTGTATGAATCTGACTTACAATTTTTAAATGTTTTTGTAAAATCTTATAAATATGGGTCAGTAAATTTTTTTTGTTTGTTTTTATGCATTAGGCTTAGAGCCTCACGAAGCCTATCAGTGCAGCATCTTAGAGCTGTGGTTCAGCCTTATAATCTTGCAAATGCAGCTGACCCATATTCTTTGCTTATGACATGATGCATTAATCTAATAGTAGAGATTTTTTTCTAAATATTTAATACTCTGCAGTGCTGCATATGCAGAAATGCACAAACCTGTTGTGCAAATGGTTTTTATGTATTAAAAAGTTAGTTTTCTTCTAGACTTCTGTTACCTTGCTGCTTTATTTGTTTTTTATTTTGAATTAGGACATTTAGCATTGTTTTTTATTAAATTTTGCTATAAATGTTTGAAAGATACTTCAGGTTCCAATCTGGGGAACTAATGTCAAAATATTTTTAGAATTCTGAGTGGTTTTTTTTATACCTACTTCAAAATTTTCTCTCATGTTATTTAATACCTATTTCAGGTACCAGTGCTGCAGTATTTTTGTTATTAATGTTTCTTACAGTTTGAGATACAGCTTTTCGTCTTCTAGTTTTATTACTGCTTTCACTTGCAAAAAATTTTAGTATTTAAAGTTTATATTGTGAACTAAGGTTTTATTAAAAAATTTAGCAAGATTTACGTCAACATCCTGATAGTGCTAATTTTGGGGAATTTTCAGAGAGAACCTTGATCTTCTAGAAATATTGGGCTATTTGACCATACTCTTGAGGTTTTTCTAAGGCCTCTGAAATATCTGGTGATGTATGCACTAACTGACAAATATGACAAATCTAAAACATTGGCTTGACATGCAAGGAAGCTCAATACTCTCTCTTCCAGCTGTGAGGCCTATGTATCTATTTTCTTCACAGTGTGGGTTGGATTAATATTTGATATCCTGGAGAGCCTTCATTAAAGTTTTCTGACCCAGTTCCATGTGAATAATACAAGGACATGTTAAAAAATGCCCAAACAACCAAAACGAATAAAATTGCATTCAAGTGTGACAGTAAATCATTACACACACAAAAACGTGGTTTTAATCTTGGCTACAGACTTCATTACAGGTGATAGGTATCTTGTGACTTTTTCCTGTGAAGGTTAAAATGTCTGTAATGCTTTTAGTATTTCTTTGGTATCTCTTGTATTATGGGGTAATAATTTAACTTTTTTAATGTCTTTCATTTAAGTTCTAATGATAGAATTTTTAATATTTTATTATATATATATATTTTTATATATTTATTTTTATATATATATATATATTAAAGTTATTTGCTGTAAACTTATTTTTCATCATTGTCATTACCAATATAAAAGGTGTGTGCAACACATATTTAAAGAGTATATAATTCTAGGGAATGACAGCTAAACTGTATGCTAACAATTGCAACAGATAATGGATATAATAATGTTCTTTTAATAATCAATCCTCTTTTTTTAAAATCTGTAATTAATATCATTTATTAAACAGCAGAGAAGACACAGAGTCATCAGTTTTTTGTAGTGCCAAAGAGTCAGTGGATGATCATGAAAATACAGATAACCCGTCATCTTCAAGGGCAGGTCTTAAACCACCATGCAATTCTTTCAAAATAGGTAATGTTGCTCATTATGTTATTTTTTAAGCTATTTTATCAATCCTACCAATATATTTACTCCCTATGTTTTATCTGATTTTAACCTCTGAATGCAAGTTTGTGTTCTCTTTTCGGTAGAAACTCAGACTGAATTGCGGCCCAAAAGTGTAGTTGATGGTGAATCAAATGAATCCATATTTCTTCTCAGGTATGAAAACCTCCTTGTAATCCTGTATGTTTGGTGTTGGTTTTTGTCTCTTGAAATATTTTATTATTATGACTGTAACACAATGTCTGTGTTGCCTTTTAAATTTTCTATTACCAGTTAATAAATACTAAAATACATTTGAAGAGCTGTGAAAAGCAGTGTGTGTAGTTAAAGTTTATATGACTTTATTATTCTAATTTTTGGAAGTAAACTTTTGATTACTTAACTGTCTGTCCAAACAGAAAGCTCTGATCTAAAATTTGTTTAGATCTCTCTCTTTCTCTCTCTCTTTCTCTCTCTCTTTCTCTCTCTCTTTCTCTTTCTCTTTCTCTCTCTCTCTCCCTCTCTCTCTCTCTCTGTCTCTGTCTCGGAGTACAATTGCTTAAAATGCATAAGAATAAGCATTCAATGTATCATCTGTTAATAAATTCTTCCTGCAGCTTTTCATTGCAAGGTGTTAGTAAGAGTCTATTAAGGACTACGAGTGTATTAAGTAAAAAACAATGATTGATTTAACAGTGATTTGTTTTAGTTGAGGCCTGATTCTGAAACTTTGTACTAGCTTTCAAGCCAAGAGGATTGTCTAGTGAAATACTTTTCTTGTCAACATCAAGCAGAAATATTCCAGTTTGAAAATATTCTTTTAAGCTTTTTGTGTGTCCTGAAATAGGGCTTTTGTACATCATACTGTGTACAAAAGTTACTTCAGTTGGTTTTAATAAAGTATTAATTATCATCTCACTTATAACTTTTATCATCACAGCTAAACATATATCGTTAGTAATTTCAAGTAGCATTTGATTTAGCAAGCTGCTCAGTAGGCAGGCTACAATGGTATTAAAAATGTGATCCAAATAATATTTTTTAGCAATTTAATTTATTTATAGTTACATTAAATATAAAATCTGAAATGTAATGCAAACAAATTTTTAAAAATCTGTTCTGAAATTCTCTTAGCTTCGATGATATAACTTCTGAAAGCAGTGTATGTAATGTCTAGTAAAGTATTAGAACATTGAAATGAAAGAAACTTTCTTACCTGGCACTTGGCATCAGAATTTAATTAGCTGCTGGAGTGGTTAATCAGCTTTTAACAGTAATGGCTTCTTCTACTTGTGCAAATGGAATAGATCTCATTCATTTTAAGTAGTTTGATTCAGCAATCTCTTGTTTTAAACTGAGAAATCATCTGAGAACTGAAAAAATAGGTACTATTATCTGTATCTTAAACATATATAAAAGCAAATTAGTTGAATTGATTTGAAAAAAAATATGTTTAACAAATCTATATGTTTGGAAGCATGTGTCAACTTAGAATCATTTGTCCAGCCTCCTGGCTAGAAATCATGGGATTGTTTTTGTTTCTGAACTATAATTCCAAGCATATCCTTATACATTTTTTATCATAAATTTCATGTGTTTACCAATATTTCATATGTTTTTATGTAGATAATATTTTAGCATTCCTTCATTGTTCCCTTTAAATTTAAATTTCTGTTGAAAATAGATGGAAGATGAGAACAGTTATGTTAATAATTTGATCACTGATTTTCTGAGGGTCTTTAATTTTGTTTGGTATTTGTATTTTTAGTTTAGTTGTTTTTTCTAATAAAGAAATCTGATTTACAACTAAATGTGTCTATTACTTTCTGCTAATCCAGAAAACATGTTCCTTTGAAGTTGTGGATTTAACTATTTCCAGGCCTGCCAATCATGGTTTAAAATGTTTTAATTTAAATTATTGTGTACTATAAACCCCAAATTCACTAGCAGCATTATGACAATTGCACCTTTGCAGTATTCTGGTCTTTCCTTTCCTCATTTTCTAATTAGCAGACAAGATTTTAAAAAGGAAAAGCAAAAGGTAAACCCAGTTCACAATGATACACAAAAATTAGGCAGTTTTTAATTCCCATTACTTAGCCAAAATTTGGGTGTCAGAAGATAATAGCATAAAATAAATGGCAAGTTTTTGTCAAGTTAATTTGCTTTGTATGTTTCTTTTATTAGGAGTTAAGACAATAATGGTTTAGCTCCCGTTTGTACAGTCATTATGGCTGAGAAAATAATCAAATTACATTCACTTAATAATTACAACAAAATATCATTTTTCCTTTTCTAACCAGCAAAGAAATCCTAACCTTGTCAGAACACATTTTAAGACAGAAAATTGGTGTTTAGTTAATGGATCAGGCAGAACATAGTGTAATTTATGTTAGTCTGCTTTGAAATTTTGCTATATGACATGAATGTTCCAAAAGAGCAACAAAAAAGTAGTTTGCAATGAAGCTTAATCGGTAGTCTTTATTGTTTTTAATTATGTTTTTCTTTATTTTGTTGAAGTTCTCGTCCCACACCTAGAACTAACTCTGCAGTAGAAGTATGTGATGCTGCTACTGTCCCAATCAAAAATTCTTCACAAGGAGATTCGTGGTTGAAAAAAGTGAGTAAAAAGTTTATATTGAGGGATGATGGTATCTCTACAGTTAGAATATTAGCCTGAAGTCTGTGGCAAAGTTAACTTTCTTTTGCATCCTTCCATTATTAAGTGTGCAAGTTGTTTGAAAAAATATTTGCAGAATTTCAGAGCTGGAAGTTAAGCAAGATTCTTAGTGTCCTTTTTTTTTTACCCTAGTGCATACAAGACAAGTTGTCTTCTTTCTTCTCAGTCTACATTTTGACCTAATGCTTTTTCTTCCAATATGTTTCTCTTATCATAATTTGTAGTTGGTCCTACCTGCTATTATGTAAATAAAAAGCAAGTTAGAATATGTTTCCATGGCCAGACAGCTTGGTATAATGTTGAAATGAAATATTTTGTGAATAAACATGATTAACTTTTTTGGTACAAAACAGTTTTTAAAAAAACTTTGTTCTTCTTCTAGGCTGAAAATGTGTGCTCAAGTCAGCAGGATATGGAGTCAAAATTGAAAGAGCTCATTTACACTGAATCTGATCTTGTCGTGACACCAATCATTGACAATGCAAAGGTATATCAGAATAAAATATCCAGTTCAGGAATTTGTGGTTGAGACTATTTTTGCAGATAAATTTTTAATCAGGGTGAAACTCCTTTCCTGTATTTTATAGTTCGCATTTTAAAGCAGTTCCACCCAGTTATCTGGCTAGATCTCATACAATTTTTTGGCAGTCTTTATAATCCTATTGTGTTGCTTATTTGGAGGAATGAGTTATTTTGGGATTGAATAATAGTATTAAATAATATCTTACAAGAAATAGAAGCTGCTAAATGTTGTGTTCAGTGATTTTGTAGATTTGTTTTCTGATAACTTGCCTTGATATCTGTTACTTAAATGAACACAAAACTTTGGATTGTTATACTCTAAACAAAGCCATCTATGAAGCCTTCTAGATTAGAAGTTAGACAATTACAGAATAACATTTGTTACTCTTTAGTGTGATAATGTTTCTATTCAACATAAATTTATTTTCCCTCTTAAAGAACACCTGAAGTTGCAAGAAATGTCCATCTTATTTCTGTTGTACGGATTCTAATGTGCTGATAGTTTGTAAGAAGTCTCCTGAGCAGGGAATCCACACTTAGGTTTGACTGTAAAGAGCAAAAAAATAAGAATCATTGCTCTGCACTGCAATGGCAATGTAATGTGTATTGATAGGTAGATGTATTAGTAGAAAGAATGATAGGCAAGAGCCCCTTTTTCCTTTCGTTTCTGTGCCAGAAAAAATGAAGCAGTCTTAACAACTTTACTCAGTAAATTGTTGATGTGGGGAATGCAAGATTTTTCCTTGGAAGTGAGCATATAAGCTCATTAGGAATGTCTTACAGGTTTTAGTTGCTGTATTGCTTTAGTATTAACAATTCTTTTGGTTTGTTTTAATGGATTTCTTAACACTTGCCAAAAACTAACAATCTTACATAGCTAGATAAGTAACTAGCAAGTAATATTCTTTTAATATGTTTGGGGTGAGAGACATTGTTCCTAGTGGAGACTTTTAAAGGTAATTATATGTTTGACTGCTACCACTGTTAATTTCTCAGTCTGTCTCGGGACGCTGACACAAAGCCCTAGTCCTTCACTGCTTCTCTTCTTACTACAAGAGATGAGATTAGGGGTAGGTGCACATACTGATGTGCACATGTAGACTAATCTCCTTACCATGCAGTGCCAGACTCAGAATTAGTGCAAAATAGCCCACTGAGTTCCAAGGACATGCAATCAGAGTCACTGCCTGCTTGGTGATGACTCTGTAGTCTGCTTTTCAGACTTAAAGATGATACTGACACCTGGTAAATCTGAAGAGCTTGCAATTTAATCTCCTGGAAAGGGATTTGCTAGATGCTGGCAGAATTTCAAGAGCTGAAATGTCAGCTTAAATTGTAAAATTTCCCTGTGTTCTGCAGATCTGTGGAATTGAAGACCTTTTTAAGAAAATAGCTCTCTACTTTAGCTTAGACTTCTTCTGTCAAAGCCTGAATTCCATTACACAGTTGCCTTTTTAAGATCTTTTAATAAAGATATGAAAATCACACTCAAATGTTCAATTACTGAGAACTCATCCAATTTCATGATCTACAAGAAAATGATGGTTTTGCAGGCAAAAAAATCCCTATACCTTGTGAACAATTAGCTGTTGATAATATGACTTTTTATATTCATGAGTGGTTTAGTGTATACATGTATGTACTGTACAGAAATAAATTGCTAAAACATTTTGTGAGCTGTCATCTGCATAGTTCCTTTTCGTAGCTTTTGAAACCCAAATGCAAGTATTTTTCTTGCGTACAAGTAAGATAAAAATGTAAACTGAAAAAATCCTCTGATTTTGTAATCCCTTTTAAAAAAATCACTTAAATGGAAATACTAGCAATATAGTTATATAAAAACATAGAGTTAAATCTCAGATATTTGCTTGGAAGAAAATACATACCAGAAAACAATGGAAAATTCCTCAGTAATGAGCAGTAGCATGTACACCCATCCTGTGCAAATTTTGCATGTTTGTATTCTCACGTTCAACTACTTAGAGATTTTCTAGGAATGTATTAAAACTAGTTGTGATATGTTTGGGTTTTTTTCCAGATAATGAAGCAAGTACCAGTTAGATTTGACCCGAAAACTTTACATATACCAGCACATTCAGGTATGGATCTGCTGAAGGTTCTAACAAGCTCTGCATGTGCTGCTGTAGCTCGTTATTTCAAGACCTGTAGCCTCCCCTTGTAGATTATACATGGTCACAGTTTCAGAACTCTTCATTACTCTGAAAGTATTGTTGTGTATGCAATGTTTTTAGCTAGACCAATTTTGAGTAGCCTTTGCAAGTACAAACTCTTAAATTATATTCCTTTCTCTTCTGCTTTCTTGAGTTACAAGGCCATGATCAAAACTTTTGCCATGAGGCAGTCATCAGTGTTTAGTGTGGGAAAACCAGGATATTTTTCTTCAGCTGAGAGATTTAAACTGAAATATTCAACCGAATATATTACAATTTGACAAATGCAGACGAGCAAGTGGCAACAAGATCTTAAAATGTGCAGTGTTGATCAGCCACAATTCTAGGCAGCCTTGCCAGTCCCACCTTTAATCACAGAATGTTGTGGCACTCATGCCCAAAAGGATAATGTGAAGTTGTTTGGGGTTTGTATTTTTGTTGTTAATTTTCAATGTCTAGAAATATTTCTGAAAACTAGTCAGCTCATTGTCATGACCGTAACAATTGTTCCCTTGGAACATTTGCTCTAGTCTTTTTAAGAAAAATACTGAACTGTGCTTGAAGAGGGACATCAGCCAGACATGTAGCCCTTCTAGAATTCACATAGCTCCTCTTCCTAGGCATAAGAGTTCATCTTTCCTTTCTATAGAGTACGTATTTTGAAGAGTTAATTTGTAGAAGAAATTTTATATATGGAAAGGAACACAACATCCCTCAATCTCCCAGTCAATACTGTAACCAAAAATACTTTTAATTTGGTCATCAAAAAATGATCAGATTCCACTGTGAAAGGAGAATATTATGTTTCATATTACCTTTAAGTAGTTATCACACTGATGTTCTGGTATGTTTAACTCATCATTTTTTATGGTTGTAATGCTTTCAGAATTGTAGCTTTCTTCTGGATAACATTCTGATTTTTTTTGAAGATACTGAATTTGAGTGCTTGTCAGTAAGGATTAAAGACAATATGAAAAAATTTAAATGAATACCTGAAAACCAAACCTGTTTTCACCTCTGCTAATGTATATTTACCTGCATTAGAAGGTGTTACTTAGGTGTAGACTGGGTTAAAAGTCGGAAAACATGCTTTTAAATAGTCTATACTGGAGCGTATCAGGTAAGTTATTAATAAATAACTACCAAAACAGAGGGAATGTGTGGCTGCTAGATTGAAGTTAACTGTTGAGACTGATAAGGAAGTCTGAAAAAAATCTCAATTCATGTGCAGTGGTCAATGAATTGAACCATGGGGTATATCTTAATTGTTCATGTGACTTGATTTCTTTGTGCTCTTTCAGAAGTCATCCATGTCCTCATTTGCTAAGGCTTAGATAGGTGGATACCTACCTGAAGGAGTGATTATATGTGCTTTCAGTTTATTTATTGTGAGCAGATTTCACTGATTTTCGCTAGGTTTTGCCTCAAATTTGCTTACAGGAAACTGCACTTACTTATTAAGAATTAGTAATAATGAAGGACAACTGCTACCTTTCCTAAATATAATGCCAATAAATGTTTATTAAATGAAGGACTTAGCAGGTTTACTCTTTCAAAACTATTTTGAGGCTTTAGTTGCTGAATTTTTATCCTTTATTTCTCTTCTTGCTTCCTTTTTGATTTCTGTTATCTTCAGACATGAATTCTAACATTTAGTATTTTAAGTCCTAAAATTATAATTAGATTCAAACTTTGGAACTTGCTTATTCATGGTGATCTTACTTAGCAGCGTGCTGAAGCTCTATTAAAGATCCACTGTCTTTAACTATTTGTTCTTCTCTCATGGTTAGTTGAGAAGTTGTCCTCTATGAAAGATGTGGACTGGAATAACTTTGTGAAAAGAGTGTGTTCCCTGCTTGAATCCAGCGAGAAGAATACAGGAGCAGCACGTTCTAAACTGAACTTACTGTACTATCTGTGCACTTTGGTTGTCCACAAGGAGATTGCAAACAGGCTAATTAGCTCTCAGCTTGTAAGTAATAAAGCTTTGAAGTAATCAGCATGGTTTACATAGTTGCCGTTGTATCAAAAATTAGCTGCTTTTAGTTATATTTGAAAAAATCAGTGGTGTACTGATAAAAATATGATGTTGATTAAAGTAAAAAAAACCCAAAAAATCAAAAAATTACATGTTAGGTTTTTCAAAAGAGCTGAGGAAAGCTAATTCTTTGTCTTAGATTTCACATACATTTACATATAGTTTTGTTGTGTTAAGGAAAATGTTGGGGTAAAAAGTAACCTTTATAAAGAGTGTAAAAAAATTTATAATGAAAAGTTAGTCTTTGTAAATCATTAAGTGGCAGAGGATACTGTAAAGAGTTCATGCATGAATTATTAAATTAATTTATTTTGTCATATGTCTGTAAAGAATAGCAAGAAAGCTTTCTAAAGAACTGGCAGTAAAATTTTAAGTAAACTGGCCATCAAAGAGTGACCATGCTCTCTGAAGGATCTGTTTTGGGGTTTCACGTTTCAAAAACCATTTTCTACCAGACAAACAATTTTACTAATATGCTCCACAGTGATTTAACATATTTCTTCCAGTCTTGCGTGTGCGGAAGAGAAACATACTTATTTCCCCCCTATCCTTATGTAAAGATATTACAGAAGCTACCCTAGGATGAGCACTTTTCGTTTTTTTTAATAGGAAGTAAACTACTTTGCTCTCTTACATTTGTAGTAAGGTACCTAAGTTAAAAGCTCAGACGTGTTATTGTTGGATATAAGATACTAAAGGCAAAATTGCACTACCAGAAATCTGGATGAAGAGCATTTAGGTTGGAAGCAGTGGTAGGTCTTATGCCATAGCATGGAAGATGTATTCTGTTATCACTGGAGTATTTGGAGGAAGGGGAGCAATAATCCAGTAACTGAATAGTCAATTAACAGAACATTTTAGAAATTAGTTAGTAATTATGCAGTTTGGTTCTTAAATATCTGATTATTTATGTTAACATTCATTATTCTGGTATTTGCCAACTACTTTGGTACAGACTCACAAAATAATTTAATATTTGTTTTATGATTAATAATGTGTTTAAAAATAAATAATAATTAAACATAATAATAATAAAATAATAAAAAATAGATAATTTGTTTTAAAATAACTATACGATGATCTCTGTGCTTGTAAGTGAAAGAATAAGACTTTTTTTCTCTAAATAGTATTATTCAGAATTAAAAAAAATTCTGACATTCAGGTACATGTTTAATAGTTTAGTTTAAGGCAAAAATATAGAAAAATATTAATATTTTTCCATTTGGGCTTTTTTATTTTTATTTCTTTAATCAGTGTTTGCACAGTATCTGCAGTATTTGTCTGTGATAATTCTCTTAGCAAAAAAATTCTCTTAGCAAATGTTATCCAAATACATTTTTATGAAATTACTGATACTTTGATTTCTTGTTTATCATTTGGAGCTATCAGATCATTGAAATTCACTGAGGTTTATTTGTCTTCTTTAAACTATAGTTTCCTATATTGATACAGCAGTTGCGTACAGCTGCCAACTGGGATATGTAAGTAACAACTATTTTAAATTAAAATGTTCAAATACAGACTTGTCACTGAATTTTATTAAAGATATTTGTTAACAGGTTATTTGAGGAGTTTTTTAGCCTGTCAGACTGCTGTGGTATCTGGCTTGGGTGTATGATGATATAAAATGGAATTTTTACAGCATTGAATTAATATATTAATTCTACAGCACCAAAGATTATAAAAAATCTCTAAAATTTTATGTAGATAACATAGAACTTAGTGTATCAAGTAGAGTTACTTAAAATCACTGAATAGAATAACTCCATACCACAAGAGAGTAAAAGAACTATAATAGTAACTCTCTTTTCCCCAATACCTGTCAGGAATAGTTCAATGTGATAGTGCCCTCTGCTGTTTTTTTCATAAACGTTGATTTTATTATTCCAATTTTTTCCATGTTAATGAAACATTGAAAACTGATTTGCTGATGCAGGTTTAATTTCTGTTTTGTCAGCTGTCCTGAAAAGTCTAAATTATCTGTAGGGGTTTTCTGTATTATATAAAAACTGAACATGAACATGACTTTAGTAATCCTAACAAACTAATGAAGCTTCACACTTCAGAGCCAGAGAAAAGAAATGTCTTTATGCATATATTTCCTGCTAAATTGGGCTGAAACACTGAAATAACTTGTTGATACAAAGAAAACAGAAGTAAGAAAAAAATCTGAGCTGTAAATAGGATGTCAAATTTTTCTGCCCTTAGCAACCTGTGTAGAATATAAACAAGATATAATTGTTTTTGTAGTATTTTATAAATATATTTCCTGAATCTACAAAATATTTATTTGATACACAGACGTGCAAACATTGCTCGAGTGATTGGTTTACTGGCATCACACACATCTGAACTTGAAGAAAATGTACCTGTTTCTGAGGTAACTTTCCTTTTTTTTCCCAGCAGGGAGTTTTTTAATGCTTTTATTATTCTCATCAGAAACTTTCACAGTGTATTTTGTGTTGACCCCTGCTTTATTTTTAACTCATATGTGTAAAGTGTAATATAATCAGTTAATTAAATGTATAAATTTACAAGCTTATTCTATGCAGTTGTGGTTCTAATCTTTACTAACCTGTGATAAAACTTTACTACCCAGTGATAAAAGTAGCATTTTTCTCTCCTTTTCATAAAATCAAGTAGTCACAGTCATACTTTTGTGCATGTGGAAAAAGAAACTGTTGACACATTTGGTTATCCTGAAATGTAATTATTGTAATTAGTATAAAATAGTACAACTATTCTTAGAGTTTTTTTTTCAAAAAAGAATTTATTGACATGGGATTAATTTGAGGTTTCTCACAGTTCTTGAAGAATGTGTGTAACGAAGGGGAAGTAATTTTGTTTGGAGAAGAAAAGCATTTTTAGTTCTTGTTTGATATTACATGGTCAGTAGTTGACTTAAACAGGAGACTGGTTAGATGAAGTGTCTTACTGTCCTTTTCTTGCATGTGACATATGCACACAGGTTGCAAAATCTTGACAGAATGTGCATTTAATGTCTGTTTCAAGTGTGAATGTGACATTATTTCTTCATAAGGTGAAGCCAGAACTTCAGTTTAGTGGGTGTTTGAATGTAAGACCCAAACTGCTAAACACAAGCTGTAAATATGCCTGTGTGCTGTGCAGATTTGGTGCAGGAAAATACAATTAGGAGTTAATACCTGACTCTTTTGGAAATGCCGCTAAAGAAGTTTTCGCTGGTTTAGGTACCTCTGGTTTCTTCTTAATGAATATTAGAAATGATTGTGATTATCCTCCTATGTTGCCATTAATGTTGCCATTCTGTAGTGAAAGCTGAACTCAAAATATTATTATTGTTACCTAGTGTTTGCTGTTTGTTTTGTGAAGTTCCAAAGTGGGGCCAAAGTCCCTATATTACAGTCACTGAAGTTTGGTAAAAGTCTTTTAATACTGACAGTTTCACAGCAATTGAATTCCAGGTCATAATTTAAGTATGCACTTTTACGTGGCAGATTTTTTCTGATATTTAACTTTTTAAAGTTAAAATACTCAAAAGTAATTTTGAGATGTCCATATGGCTTTTGGCTTCAGGTGTTTATTCAGGTGGTTAGCAGTAATATGTTTAGCAATAGCTAAACATAGCAATAGCTAAACATATTTCCATAGCTTCCTAGTTTCCATCAGAAAACACGTATCCGAGTCAGCTTTTGTACTTAAAAGCAATAGATTGAAGTAGTTATATGTCGCCGCAGTCCCCCATCTGGGTAGTAATTGGCATTGACTCCATGATCCCCAGAAGGCTGATCAATCACTTTATTACTCTGTACTTATTAAGAAACCCATCTCCCTTACAGACAGTCATGATACAGGTAGACCCAATTGGTCCTTCCATCTAAACACCATCGCCATTGGCCAGTTGAGAAACCACCCTTTGGTAAACAAATCTCCACAACACATTCCACATGTTCACAACAACAGGTGCAGCAAGTGAAGATAAGAATCATTCTTTCATCATTCTTTTCTCTGATCTTCTCATAGCCTTCCCCAGGACAATGCCTGGGAAGGTTGTGCCTGCTGCTCTCTGTGGCCAGAGAGTTGCTGCCACAGTTATACATTGACCTGTAATATTATTTTGTTCAAAATGTTTCCAGTGCTTTTTTATTTGAACGTATAAGTCATTCACAAAAGGAATTTAGCATTTTTAGAAGTATCATGTATATACATCAGGAACCAAGTTAAATCCAAGACCAGTGACATTTAAACTGAAGGACTAGAATGGAAAATTAACTTTCATTTTAACTTCCTGGCCCCATTTTTATGTTTGTTAAAATTAGTTTTTATATATATTAATTGCGAAAATAAGGAATTTTTAAAAAATTAACAGGTCTGAGTTAAAAATGCATCTACTGTGTTTTATTTAATGACATTCATTCCAATTTTTTTTCTCTCAAAGTAATATCTCTGAACAAAAACATATTTTATTGCTTTCACAAAATTAGAATGAGGGGAAAAAACATTGAATTCTAATATTTTCATGTGTTCAAATTTATTTTTGCATATATAATGTAAAATCAAACAACTGTAGGCAGTACACAAAACTCAATAGTTCATTTCTAGGAAAAATAGGAGGGAGTCATTTAGGAATTTCTCATCTAGAGATGTATTCCCCTCTGCTCCCTTCAGAGGAATCTGCGGATTGGTTGAGCATTCTTGTTAACTGTCAGCTATTTTATAGTGTATGATCCTTTAAAAACCCCACCACAAAGCAAACCTTTCTATCAGCATTATATACAGAATTAAATATAATGCTGTAATTTATCCTCTCATATGAGCCACCTGATGCTCCAGGTAAAGTTTATTGGCGCCTGTTGTGATTTAGGAAATGTCAGAATCAAATGTCTTGAGCTGAACAACATAATCTAAAATGACACTCTGTGATCCAGGTCTTACAGTCTGAAGATATAGGAGATCTGTCTCTTGGTAGGGTTTTTTGTGTTTTCTTTCCTCTTCCATTCCTAGCACATTCTAATTTGATTTGATAACTGCTTGATTTTTTGACCTATTAAATAGAAGTGATCTTCTTTCGCTCCTAAATTTGTTCCCAAGTGTGAAAAGGCAATTGAGAGCTTGTGAATATGCGATTCTGGAATTATTTTTGCTCCATATATGTACCGTGCTATTTATATCAAGCTTTCTTTCCAGTTGTTATCACTCAGTCATGGCCCCTTTGCAGTTTTTTTTGTTACCTCATTATACAGTCATCACTTACTTGTGATCTCTTTTGTACTTTCAAAGCAGCACAGGACCCGGTAGAGACTCATGCAGGTTGACGCTGCTGGCCCTTGCATATTAAAAAGCTAACTCTTTATTTCTACCCACTACTGCCTTCTACCCACTTAGACATTTATTTAAGGATAGTTTCTCTATCCTTGAGGTTGAATCTGTACCATTACATTTTTGTTGTTGTTGTGAAAATGGTTTTATAAATAGTAGTAGCATTAATCTCTAAAGAGGCAGAAAAACTTTAGGAAAGAAAAGAAACCTCAACCTCATTTTACAGGCCAAAGTAAATTTTCATATAATGCATGCCAAAAGCCTTTAATTTATTTGTCTTTGAAAAATTAATGTTTTGGGGTTTTTTTAAGTTCTTTTTTTCAAGCAAGGAGGGAACAACAGTTTCCTTTGAATATAACCACCAGAGGTCACTAAAAGACAAAATAAAATGCAAGTAAACTACTGTTTTACAGACTAGGGAAGCGTGGAACTATGTACTATCTTTATTCTGCTGATGTATTTGAGTATGTAGGTCATACTAGAAAAAATTAGAATAAATGAATATTTATATCTATTGATCTATTTCCAGTTAAGTATTTTTAAGGAGCATATTGCATTGATTAGAAAAAATGACACTGATCTTAGAACACAATAGGGGAATTGATCTCTTGTATAACTGCAGATGAAGACATTTTATGTGCAATTTCTTCTATTGTGCAGGTGCAATAAAAGATTTTAATAGGTCATATATTTTTTCCTGACTTAATATAATTTTTTCCTCCATGGAATTGCCCTTTATAAATCTGAAACATAATTTCCTCTTATTTATTGCTAGTTATCTTAGGAAAATACCTGAACTTTAAAGTTTTATTTTTGTATTTAGATTTTAAAACTGGTTATGAAAATTCTGTGAAAAAAACCCCTTCTTTCCAGGATTCTGTTCTTCATCTTACAGGAAAAAAATTCTCCCATAGTTAGGAAGGCTTGTTTTGATGTATATCTAATTTGTTGTATTTATTAACAGAAGCTATTGTCCTTCACTTTCTGAGAACATACTGGGCTCTCTGCCACCTAGGATGCAGCCACTCTGATGTGACATTTAGGACTCAGTCTATTGTTTTACTAAGAGATGATACAGCAACTTAACAGTTTGCCTCCATGTCAGGGAGCAGTGTCCTTCTCTGTCTGGAAGGACACTACCCTGGAGTTGTTCTCTGTCTGGCCTTTTTGGTGGCAAAATCTAGTCCTTTTCCTTACCTTTCTCAAATTTGCTAAATGGCAATATCAGTCTCACCCTATGGCCTGGGCAGTTGTGCCTGTCTTTTAACAGATCTTGATTCACTGCTCTACTGAGTATTTAAAGGGTTCAGAGAGCCTCGTGCAGCCTTCACACTGCGAGCTTCTTTGCAAAGCCTTTGGCTAAATATATTCCATGGCCAAATTAATAAATTACAGAGCCCGTGAAGTATGACAGCATATCAGAATATCTCCATAATACTGAGCTTTGATTCCTCTGTCAAAGTGGTGAAATATCCAGATTTCTGTTTTCATCCAAACTGAAACTCCATGTAATTTGAGCCTTTTAATTTCTGACTTTTTATTAAAGTGCAATTTAGTGGTTGTTTTCCACAGCTGGAAAGCAGCTGTATTACAGGTGTAGTTTTATGACCTGTAACTCTTATACATACTCTAGCCTGCTCATTGTGTCTACATTGCTCAAGGTCTACAGTTTGTTGTCAAATTCTTACAGAAAGCAAATTCTAAGTCAATTTCCTTGCTTAACTCTCTGATAACTCCTGTTTCTAAGCCTGTTATGTCTGCTCATATTGTAGTGATTTCAAGTAAAAATGGTTTGATTTGGCCATTTATTCCACACCTATTTAGTTTTAATATTGTTTTATTGTACAATGACTTTATAAGAATTATTATAATTTTAGTGTATCCTTGTTTTCTCCAAGGCCCTTTCCTTGCTTTGATCTGATATGTCTTACCTAGAAAAAAAACCAACATGGAACAAAACCCACCCGAATTTAAAAAAATCTGTAGTCAGGAGATAGAATCTGTAGGAGAGTATGTGTATGTGAGTATTTACACATGTTCATATACACACATATTTTGTAACTCGCTTAAAACTTTACAGTT